ATGAGACACTGACTCTTTAGTATCTATCCATGGAGGAGAATAAATCCAGTATTTAAATCTGTCTCCCAAGACAGATTCTCCCAAGGAAGTTGTTGGAAAAAATGGCCAGGCACACACCATTTTTTCATATCTTAAAGATGAAGCACAGACACAGAACACATGCACTCCACATAGCTACTGCTAACCAAAAATCTCTACATATGCAAGTATGTACCCATCATGGAATATGAACATAGATAAACATCAAAATGAAAAGTCAGTTTTAAACAGTAAACTAAGAAAAAGGCAGCAAAGAAGGGTGAGAAATCTATTTTTTCCTGAGGTATTCTGAAGTTTTAAAAGTACAGTCAGTGTTATGGTAACTTTCACATTGCTTATCGATTAAAGGGTAGCTTTGTATACAAGCCTATAACCATATTTAAACAACAAGATTATTTTTCAAATAGATCTAGCCATTCTTTAAGAGTATGTATTTTCTTTATAAAAAAAGATTTAGACTTAGAAAGATAAACTTTATCAACCCATTTTTATTGCATTGACCTAACTGACCTAACAAGCTCATAAGAATTAAGGATTTATGATCCTGATTAAGTACATACTTTTTTAAAGGATAAGAGAACAGCACTAAACATTTAACATTATACTGATTCCTGAAAAACAGAAGTTCTCTGTTTATTAGCAGAACAAGTACAGGACAGGAGGCACAGAGGCAAGATATACTTTCTTTCAAATACACTTAATCATTTCCTTGTGAGATAGTCCTTATTAAAAACAACTTGGAAAGAGTGTTTTGCATTTATCTGACAGATTTCTTTTGTGAACTCACAATTCACACCTGGATGGACTAGACTAAGTTTTTTTTATTTGGCTATTTATGTATTTTAGAGAAACATCAAAAAAACCCCTCTCAATCACTGCAGTTTAGACTGATTTTAAAATTGAGAGAAATATTAACTATTTGATTTAGATGTCCTATAAATTACCAGTTTTCTCTTCAACAATCTGAATTAATAAAAGTATATAATAAAATTAAATCAGAACCTATTTATAGTATTTCTCCTAGCCCAGTTCCCCCAAATCACATGGAATGAAACACCTACTGGTGGAATTTGACACCAATTAAACTGGGATAAGAAAAGCTCTCCCTTTTTGGTTTTCCCCTGCAAGAGCCAGAAGGAATATGATACCTATTTCACATGCAGCTGATATCTACCAGTCAGGGACTGGTAATTCTTGCCAGCTCCTTGATATAAATCCTATCTAGCATGCCACATAATTAATTTGTTGATTTGTTTAATTTTAGTTAGATTTTAGTTCACAAGCAGGTTATTTTCTGTAGTTTTATCAAGCTTTTACTCTTATCTAGCAAACACAGTGCAGCTGGTTAAATTTGCAAACACCTGGCTAATTCTATTATTCCAAAGCCCCAAATGAGCTTTTATTTCTTTCTTACTACAAGTTTCACAACATGCATCCCTCCTTTCCAATACGCTTCAGCAAACACGAGGGATATGGACAGAAATCAGGGCTAGCCTCAACAGCCTGGGACCTTCAGAACTCCTGGGACCTTCAGAGCTCCTCCGCTGTGCCAAGCTGGTGGACAGCAGCTGGTGTGCAGTGACTGGAGCACACCAAGTCTGCAACCTCCAGTTTCCATGGACCCAAGTGGTGACACACAACCACCCTAACCAGTAGGGCCTGTGGCACCTACGTTTCATCATATGGTCAAGAGCACCCAACACTCTGGCAGAAGCTGCCTTTCCAGGTAGGAAATATGGGACTTGATAAGTACAGAAACCATATCCAGGGGCTAAGGGAAGAGTTGTGGCCATAAGGCTCCATGCGTAAGTGGTTTTTCTTAGGGCACTTGCAACCTGCATCCTATTCTAGCAGTCTGGCTATTATAGGCCATCCTTAACAGCAAGAAAATTTCAACAGTTTTAGCATAACAAAAGCTGTCACTTGTCCAAGGATCATATCCCTTTTCCAGCATTGCTACAATTTTTAAAATGCAGTAAATATCCAAAGCTGAGGAAAGTAATTCCTGGTTTGGTAGATGTACCAGCAAAAAGTTGGTTTTTTTTCTTATAGACTTTGACTTATCTGGAATTATGTATTTACATACTTCCAGAAGTAAATAAAAAAGTGGTTTTTATCAAAGCAGACAAAACTAGGCTTAAAAAAGTCCAGAGTTATCTACTGGAGTTGAAGTATCTGTGTTGAAGGGCAGAATCCATGCTGGTCCTTCATGAATGCTGATCTACACACTTTCACAAATACAGATCCACAGAGACTTCCTAAGGTTTTAAATAGCCCCCCCAGCATACATCATTGCCCACCAGCAATTAATGCTATGTTCGGGAAGGGGGAATACTGCTATTTATAGAAAATTAAAACTTGAAGTTCATTTCAACATCAGTAAAGCTAGGGATTATTTTATTAAATTATTTGTATGTCAAGCTTTCTGAAAGATTAGTGAGCGTTTACATAGTACTTACTGGACCATATACAAAAACAAACAGAAATCTGACCTTGATGGTACTTGCATAGTTTCTTATCAGTCTAAAAGACCTGAACTTTTATTCCAATTCATACTGGTTCTTACCATCCCTATCATAATCACTGATCAAAATTTGGTTTAGGCTTTCAGTATTTCAAAGTATGGTCAGGATTCATACATAACATGGTTAAGTAGTACCATAATCCTCCATGGATTCTTTGTGTATATTGAAAGGTACTTAAGTTTTGGATAGAAGTCTGAATCATAAATAATCAGATATTTTAAAAGATTAAAGAAAACAATATCAAGCTATTTTCCATTTAATAATTATATCTGCAAAGCTAAGAATGAAAGCTAAGTTTCTTGTTTAGAACGGTTTTATTTAGAAGTAGCAAGAACTTACTATACATTGTTTAAGATTTTCCTCTGGTTTACAAGAGGACCAGAGAATTACACAGTAAAATTGAGTCTTTAGGGACAAGTAAATTGAAACAAAAACTTGTGGGTTTCAGGAAGGGGTTTTGATAATAAAATGTGTCAGTGAAGAGTTCCTAAGAACTGGTAAAATTTCCCCCTTTCTAAAGTGGCATGCAAAGCTAACTGACTACCATTGAAGATTTTATGTTATAAATAGTTAAGCTTCATGGTTCACCTGAATCTAAGCAAAAAAAAAAACCACGCTGGAGTTTAAATCTCTTATTATAATTTTGAGTTATCTTTAAAGTATTAGATTCTAACTGTACTTTGAAATATTTTTATAGTGTTATCAAACATTATATTAGCAACAGCCTTGATCAAGTTGTTTTCATGTACTGGAGCTGTATTTCACAATCAGAATTTGTGCCTATCTGATATGGGCAGAAAGAAAGCATACTCTAAAAATATATAATATTAAAAAAGATACCAAGGATTTTGTTCTCTACAAGTTGACCAGTAGCTTTAGTCCAATCTAAGAACAAGCAGCATTCATACAAGCATCTTGGTAAAAAAATTATAAGCTTTTTGTTAAATGTATTTTAGAGGTTCTATGTGACTGAGTGTATAGCCTTGTTCAGTTCTCTGCAAGCGTTAATGATCATTTACAATCTATCCAATAGCTTTCTCTACAACACTTCCCTTCTACTCCTCTGAACATATTTCAAAATATCTTTACAGAACTTATGGGGAAATAGCATAAGATGTCACAATAGCCTACTCATCCAATTATACAGTCCTTTGAAATAGTCTAAGTGTTATAGATTTTAATCATGTAGATTTTATTCTAAGTAACAAGAATTGGCCATGAATAAAAGTCAGTTTACAGCAGCTCAACACAAACCAACCCCCACTAAGGTAATTTTTTAAATAAATATCTGATGCAGAGTCAGTAGTCTAACCAGCGTACTACCAGAGAGCAGTGACACCACTCGCTATATTGGATACAGACCCATGGGCTTTTAAGGAGTTGAAGATTTTTTACAGAATTTCAGATATTTATCATCATTAATCTTACTGTTCTATCACGGATGAGTAATAAGTCTTAACATGATCCTTCTGTTTTCATAGTGAGTACCAGTTCTACTAGTCAATAGTTTTTGTCAATATCTTGAATATGAAGATGTGCAATGGTCTAAATAAAGCACCCATTGGAGGTTGTGGGCTTTTTTTCCCCTGTTCCCTTTTAAGTGTTTCAGTTTGCAGCACTTCAAACAGAAACACTAGGAAACCATTCAAAAATAATTCACCATTTAAGTAGTGCAATGAGTGCCAGCCAGATACATTTCATGTAATGCATCTCCTAGTTGCATCAGAATTTCTTAGATTAGCAGCATACCACAGAAAAAAAAATATTCTGCTGGGAAAAAAATCCCACTAACTTTAGTACACGTTTGAGAATTGGTTGATTGACAGCTTCCCCACCATCAGAAGCTAAAGCTTTATCAGTTGCTATAGATAGCAATAAAAAAACAACTGAACTGGGAACTAGAAGCACCAGATAACAGGATCAGTTATATTAGTGCTATAGCAGTAAACTACAAAGCTGAAGTTTGAGAGACACAAAAATCCAAATATTTTGCTTTTAATAAAGCTGGGAAATGGTCAGTAAAATATACTGTAAAAATGCACATTTTAACAAACATACCTCAATTTGAAGGAAAAAAAAAGACGTTTTATTACCTGTTTTCTGTTATTTACTGCTTCCATTATTGCTTTTAAACACACAAGTATCATTGGCAATGTACGCAGCTGAGTACCAAAATAAAGAATTGTCTTTGGAATAGTACAGAATACTTTTCAAATACCTCGTCACGGGTAAAGTCTCTTAAACCTTTGAGAACAGGGAACTAAAATTTTAACTGGCTCAACTAATAGTTACTAATAGTTGTCACAGACAAAATTTCAAGTTCCCTCCCAACAGAAATTGCACTTTAAATATTGCTTCCTATTACCATTAGTCCATAACACAACGGGAAATAACTAGTTTTAAATATGTCATATGTAGGAAGAAACACGCACTTACCAAGTGAACATAAGGCACAAAGTATCCAAAAAGTGCAGCTGGGATTCCGAAAGCCCAGATTCGGTAACTGAGAACTTTGAAAACGGAGAAGTTGCAAATCTTTTTTTCAGGAGGAAATCTGAACTTTCCCTTCTTTCCTCCCTCCTTGTCTTTGGCATCGGGAACAAGGGGTTTGTACGTAAAGCCAGCCAGGAACAGAATAAACATAAGGATGCACAAGACCCGCAGGGTGTTGTATAGGCCAACGGAGTCAATCAGAACTCTCAGGAGGAAGGGCAGTGACACGGTGAACAAGCTGCTGCCTGCAGTGACAATGCCATTCACCAGTCCAAGGCGTTGCTTGAAATAGTGGCCGAGAATGACCAAGGATGGTTGGTATGCAAATGAGCAGCCGCAGGCAAATAAGACTCCGTAAGTGAAGTATAGAGGTTCAATGGTGCTATATATCAAAAAAGAAAAAAATCATTAGTGTTTCGTACAATATTGTATGCTCACATTCACCCACTATATACAAGACAGTTTTTCAATGAATTGACATAATTACAGAAGCAAGTTAAGAGTCCATATGTACTTATAGTTGAAATACAGCTTAATTCACCAGTTATTCTATTTTCATCCACTGAAAGCGTCATAGAATTCACTGAACAGGTAAAAAAGCAAAAAATATATTTAAGCATAATTACTCCAGTCTGACTAAAAGTTTTCAAAATCATTGTCAGAGTGAATTATCCAAATATAAGTTCAACAATTTCCAGGGTTTTGGTTTTTCCTTTTCCAAAGAAAATTATATTTTTTGATTTACACATTTCCTCACTGTGCGATAAGTTCTGACGTAATATTGAACACTCCTCGTGAATGCAGATAAATCAAGTATTTACACAGTTTATAATGAAAATACAATAGCAAAGGTAGTAATTACTAATAATGAAAAACAAAAAAATATTATCACATGTGGTAATATAATACATTAGCAGCAAATGATAGACTTTCTAGGTATGAATTTTTAGGCAAATAATCTTCTTTATTAAATATACTAAATTCAATGTTTTGATCCAGATATTGGATATGCTAAGAAAGAAATAGGGAAAAATGTTAATACAGAATGAAATATTTCTGCACATATTAAGGAGGATCTCCATCACTACCATCTATTATACAATTGAGAGGAAGCAGAGCCATTGTATTAGATCACAGTCTGTTCACAGGATGTTAAGAGGTACATGTGCAAGAAATCTTAACAGTACAAAGTAACAGTGTAGTACAATTTAGTATAATGGTATTAAGTCAAAGGAAACATTTTTTACATTTAGATGAAGGAGGGAATGTGTGAGAAGTGTTTTTATACAAGGTTTCTGAGGTGGCATGTGATGATCTATTATTTTTTCCTAATACTATGTTTTTAATGAGCCATGGGCTCTTTTCTATCGGCTAACATCTGCTTCTAAAGCAGTTATAAAAAACCATGTAACCTGTTAGCCAATATATTAACTTTTTTAAGGAGTACAGATGCTTATGTAGTCCTTTTCATCATAGGATGTTATCTGCCAACCATGTTACCAAAACAGACTCCTCAATCTTCCCATGCAATTGCAGAAATTCTTAGGAAATAGTACTGACCAGCAAGTCTAACATGGGGAACTCTGGCTTTATGTATTATTGTGGAAAAGGGTGTAGCATAATATTGTTGCTTTCTACACTAAACTATCAATTTCTAAAACTGATTATACAGAAGGTAAAACAGCAGAAAGAACATAAGGGGGAAAAGACTGATCACCTTTATCAATGTAAAATAACCAGGAAAAATAAAAACAGAAGTTATAAAATGAGAAGGAACACAATACAGTAAGACAGAACTTCTGCTTTCATCTGTAGATTCATTCAAAGAGTTTGCAGCGTGACATACATAGTAAAATATGTTCCTGCATTACAAATACTCTTACATCTCAGGTTCCTAAGATAAAATTTATATTAAGAAATCAGTATGTAACAAAAGCAGTAAATCATATTTGCATTTATCTACTATACAATATTTTACTTTTAGAACATTAACCCCTGTATCTGAACTATCCTCCCTCAATTAACTGATAACATCACAGACATAAATAATTTTACTGATTAACACAAGAAAACACCAAGAATGCACATTAAAGTGGCATGTACTTAACAAGAGTTCACCTCTGATCTCAAATAACTCCTCAAATTCCAAAAGAAAACTCAAATAAACTAAAATATTTTTAAAACCTTTACAAAATAGCTTCCTTTTGCATGCCTCTTCTGTGCCCTGGTTCCATTGGATATCAGAGAAACACAAGGATGATAGCATTTTGTTCAAAGGAAAAAAACACCCTTCCTTTATCAAGATCTTTAATTTATAATAACGAGACTGTTTTAGTATTCATCACCTAACATACTACTGGGAAGCAAGGAGGAAGAAAGACTTTTCCAAATGCATTCTTTTAGTTTTTACCTCACATGTGGTAACAAGTCTCTTTAAAACATATCAAGAAGTGGGGGTTTTGCTTGTTTGCTTTCATGAAATGAATTAAGTGAAATATTTGCACTTGGATTAACAAGGAAAAATAAAATAAAAATCAGAAACTTGCTCAAGTAACAACAAAACAATGCTTTCTTTTTCCCATAAATGCAAGTTATTCCAAGAATAAATATAAACAGTAGTCTTAGTACCAAAACCAGAACTATTTGTCTTCTCTTCCTGTAAATTTGTGGATATGTTTTCACATTAGGGGACATGCGCCTAAACTAGACCTATCAGCACAGGCATAGTGCCACACAGCAAGGATTTTCATCTGTCCAGATCACAGCCAGCTCACATCTATGTGGTTGAGAGTACAGGCATAGAAAGCACATTTTCACAAACCTGTCTGTACAGATACATTTTCATCTATGTAGGAAACTTTCAAATTTTTATTTTCAGTGTTCCTATACTTATTCTCCTAAGAGTGGGGAAAAAAAGCAGAGTGAGAACTAGAGGTAACTGGCTTATTTTCCTGCTACTCCTTACCCTAGCTTCACTAACCAATTTCTGCTGATGACTAGATTCAAGTAAGCAAATTTCTCATTTCCTCATCTTTTACTGGACACATCCAACAAATCAGCCGCTCTTGAACTTCTTAGGATTTATTCTGCAAAAGTTACAGAAGTGTACAAAATGAAGTGTAATCTGGAGGAAAAAAAAAACCACTCAAGTACTGTTCAAGTTTTTTCAATAACACAAGGAAGAACTGAGATTTTTCTTAGCAAAGCAAATAAACCCTAAGTATATGTCATTATGCCAAGGTTTTCACCATCTCTGTGTTTGGCAATTGGACCAGTAAGAATAGGAAACAAAACATCAAATTTTACTAGAACATTAACACCTTCCTGGAGGTGGTACTGTATATTATCAACATTGAAACAATGTTTCAAAAGAAAATTGAGGCAATGGGGCAGGAGGGAAAACAGAAACACTGTTTATGTACCTGCTAAAACACAGCATACCTTAAGCAAACATTCGACAGGTTTATCCAGGACAATGTTATTGATGTTATAGCATTAGTCTTACTATTGATACATTTATACATAGTGGTTCCCATTAAATAGGGAGTGCCATTAGGAGGTTATTATATTTTTTAAATTACTTTTGAAGTTGAAAGCACCACTTAGAGTTTTCACAAGTCATAGTCAGAAAGACAAAACCAAAAACATAAAACAAGGTTTCTACTCTAAAACATAATATATAGTAGTACTGCTTACTTCATATTCTGTTGCTAGGATCAGCATCATCTCTACACTATAAAACTGAAAATACTTCAAATAGAAAGAAAATATTTTTTTACCTTACAAAAGAACTTGAAAGGAGTCCAGCAAACCCTACTGCAGCTCCAATAACAGCTACTTTTCGACAACCAAACAGGTCGGTGAATATGCTGACTATTGGAGAACAGAAGAAGACCATCCCCATAGAAAGGGAGCTCACCCATGCTGGAAAACAGAAAAAGGCAGCATTTTAGAAGACCAAGTGATTTAAGCTTTCAGCTAGTATTTGTTTTAGTTCAGCAATCATAAGATCTTGGCTAAAAGTTGGGTAACTGTTTTTAAATTACAAATAAATTTTTAAATATGTTTACCTAACATGGTAAGATCAATTTACATAATCAACTAATTTAGACTTTATCAGCTCAATGAATATAATTAGCTACAGAAGTTACTACTTTTACTTTTTAAAAAAAAAAAATCACAATTATTCCTCCAGTAACTAACCTAGTATTCAAACTAATGAATGGACCATCAAAGATACCTTTGAGGCTCCATATCCATTCTGACATCAATTAGCACATTTCATCTGATTTAATTCTAGGCTTTAATGGCTTTAAATAGCTAGGTTTGCTGAAAAAAGTTAACAAATTTTAAACTTAATGACAGATCTAGATCATACTGAATATTAATAATGTGTAAACAAACAACAACAGGCTTTTATACTGTAATAAACACATTAGGAATATAATTTTAAACACAAGGAACTTGAGCTAGTACAACTATTTCCACATGTAATGGGAAAATGTCGCTATATCTGCTACTGCTCCAGCTTTACAGACATTGTTAAAATGTACTTTGTTTACAAATGAGTCTTTGGATCATTAGGATTCAGTTCAGGCACACTAAAGTTTCAGCCACAAGCATAGTTTTTATTCCAAGTGTACAAAAAAATTATCTTTGAATAACGTAGAAGAGAATTTGATTCATTTTAAATTGCAAGTCAACTTTCTGCTTCTACTTCATACAGGTGTTCAGAATCACATCATTTACCTGCTATCATCTAATCGTTCTTTCAAACACACATTACTGATGTTGCACCCAACAGCTCTCCCAGGGCATAAAGATACATCAAGCTGCTGCAACACAACAGCTACAGCAAATATATTCAGGTGGGTAAATGTCCCCATTTATATGGGGAAAAAAAAAGGTCTAAACTGGTAGTGGAAAAAGCTGCTGATGTAAGATGCATGGTAAAAAAATATTTTAACTTCTTTTTGACCTGTATGGAAGATGAAAGACTTCTTACAACCTCAAATGGATTTAAGTCTGTAACTGGGATTTTGTTTAGAATATCTTTCGTAAAGACAGTTAGATACACAATTGTGATTCAGTGATAAGGTCAAATAAAATTATCTGGAAAAAAAACAACATAACCAAGAGACCTAATGAAGAATATTCACAAGTATATCTATCAATACCAAGACTTAGAAGAAGTGTTGTTAGAGCACCAATGAGCCCTGCACATTGAAGGCCCCATTGTGCAAGACACTAAAGAAAACAGAGCAAAACAAACAACCACACAAAACAAATTGCTTGTTCAAAGCATTTACAATGTAAAGAAAGACAAGAGAACAGATGGCTAGAGAAAAACAGAAATGGTCATACAATAAAACAAAACCTTTATTTTAGTGCACATAATGATCTCAATGAACCGTGACCTAACTGTTTAGGCTGGAGGAGGTTGAGGGGTTTTGAGCATGTGATAAATATCACGGAGTTTCAAGGCAAAATCTGAAGAAGAGTGAGGTACTTTTATAGGTATTTCCTGGGTATCACTAACCCAGAGAAGATAGCCCTGCCAGCCTTGCACCTCTGCAGCAGAAACATGAGCTGTATGAAGGCAGAGCACAAAAATCTAGGAAAAACAAGGTCCCTGTGATACTGACTGCAAGGCAAAGACCGAATTTATGAAAGGTCTGTCCTTTCTTTTCCTCTGCAGTCAAGAAAGGTTCAAATGCACCTTGAGTGTGACAAGAGATGACTTAGAGATCTCTCCCAGTTTACAGCCCAGATGGCTGTTGATCCTGCAAGACAACATTTTATCAACTACAGTTTGTAAGACTGAGTCAGAGGGAGTAAATCCTCTCATAGATTCTGGAGACCAGCCAGTTGCAAAGCTTTTAATATGTCCAACTTCTACAAGACTTCACATCTTTTTATTTATCTTTCCCAGAGTGAGCTATTTCGACCCTGCAGTTTTACTGTCCAGAGGAAACTGCAAACACCGGGAGGTAGAACATCCATGGCTTCCTATCACTCCCTTAAATATATGGTAGCTCCGCCACCACAAACAGTCTTTTAGCATCTCTGCATGACTTGGAGGGTAGCACTAAGAATCACAGAGTACCTGTAACACCTTGGGTATTTGCAAGGCCAAAAGAAAAGGCAGGTAAGTCTTGAGAAGTGGGCATTACAAGATTCACTTTTCAGATTCACAGTGGTATGAAGATAGCAAGGAATGGCTGAACGTCCTGCCAGCCTTCCTGCCTCAGTACATGAAGGCACAAAGGCAACTGTGACACCAGACAAGCCCATCAGAGATTACTGGTTACAAGAATCCAATCACATGGACAGATACATGCACCCCATTCATGGGGACAAAAAGGTAAACTGTTTCAGTTGCCCAATTTCTTTAAGTAGCTTGCATTAAGTCACATTACTTCAGAGCCACAGATACAAGTCCACCAGTCCTAGTTTCCAGTTAGCACAGGCTGTGATTTAATTAGCATTCTCCTTAGTGAAATCAATTAGTTTACAGTACCTTTCTAATGGCTTATACAGCTAATAAAGTGATTAGAATATAAAAGCTTGAAGTGAAAACATTCAGTTCAAATTACATTAACAACATGCTGTCTCTTCATGCTTCCAGGTACTAATGAAACCAATACACCTTTCTTATCACTTGATTCTCTCTTCTTTTTGTTACAGCAATGACACCCAAATCCTAAAGGAGAAGAAAGGTTCCCACTGATTTTCAACACTTAAGAGGAAGGACAACAGCCTTATCTGAAGCATTTCAGGAAGGCACTTCAATTAAATTGCAGGAGTGGGAACCCATGCTCTACCACTTACCTACCTAATGGGAACTGGAGCCCTTTAACTATCTATTATATATTGAAGTTAGCATAAGGCTCTTGGGTCCTACAGAAACACAACTTAAAGAGATGTTGTTGGCACATTTCATATGAACAGCTTTATTATTTAATGAAAAGAATGTTCTTGAAGTTTAACTTCCCATGTATGCATAGCTCAAGAAAATGTACTGTATTCAACCTCTGTGAAAAAAAGTAGCACCAAAAAATAAAGATATGAACAGAACAGGATGTTTAAATCGTTAGCTTCCTGAAGGCAAATAACTCTTGCTGCAATATGTTGAACCTATGAAGAAATTGATGAATATAAAATATATTCAATAGATCCAAGAATCTTTTGCTTTGCTCGAGTCTTCAAGCATTCTTACACTTTTTCACTCAGTATGAAAAAGGTACAATGAATTGTCTTTCACATTTTTTAAATAGAAATTACAACAACTGTCCCAAATAAGTAATATGAAAAATTACAAATGTAGCTTGCCAGGATAATGAGAGCTCTCTAGAGCAGTTATTACATATTAATTAAAACATTTCTCCTCTAGGCTATTGGCTGCTTTCCTAGCCACAAGCTGGCTATATTCCAGAGCTGCTAATTCAGATACTAATACAGCACCTAATTGCTACATATAACCACATTCATATTCATATCCAAAACATTTTGATTGCCATAGAAGAAAAGCTATTCCTACGTTAAGGACTTAAGCCTTCCTTAAGACACTGGAAGTTAAGAATTATGTCCTCAAAACATGTAATTGCAGAATAACCAACTCCCGAGCTTCCCTAGAAGATGTAACAAGTTATCCTTAAGATAAAAATACCAGACCAGAGAGCTTATTGGTAGCATCTACACTGAAAAGTGTGTTTCTGTGCCATTGAAACACACAACAGATTACAAAAACATCTTTATGCTAACTAAAATTATTCCAAAATGAAAAGTCACAGCTACATGTTCTTTTGTCAGTTCACTACAAATGTATGTACTTCAGCTATAATCTCAGTACGTTTTCATTACTTCTCTGTTCAATTATGAAACTATACCACCTACTCCACAAAAATGCTGCCATTTTACCATGTTTTTGAAGTCACCCATATTTTAAATAGTATAGTATCTAGTATCTGCACATTTACAAGATCACTCCTATCACAGCTGGATTATATAAAACATTTATCTAGGAAAATACGAACCAAGCTGTTAAATGTTTTTAGTTCATTCTTTATACTGAAGCACTAGGACTTACAAGACAGCATTAATACCATACCACATCGGAATGCTTTATCATGCATAAATTTAAATAAAGGCTATTCATCCATAGCATTCCTTTTTACAAACGAAATTTTTCTATGAATTATAAAAGAATCTTATCAGTTTTATCCTCACAAGTGTCTTTCAAGTGGTTGCCTTAACACAGTAATAACACCCTTCATTCTTTAATCATCTTCAAGATTTTTTTTTAATATTTTAATATTCCCCTGAGAATTTTTTCGTTGAGACAGGGAACAAAAAACTACTGTCTAGAAGACAAGGGATATGAGACAAGTGAAAAGAAGAGTATTTAAACCAAGGATTCAAAATCAACTCACAAATATTTTGTTTCCCCACATTAAAAAAAATCAGATGTTTGCGTAGCTCATGGAGCAGACCAAGACAACAGTGTAATTACAGTTCACTGCATAGCTTGCAGAATAATCTGTTTGGCACTACACATACTAAAACAAAAGCACAGACCGGAAAGTGAGTGCAAGCTTTCTACATTTAATAAAACAGATTCTCATGTGCAAAGACCAACAGCTATTGTTTTTAAGCACTTGCAGAACAGACTGGCCAACCATCCCCTAAACCAGTACTCTCATTGCTCACTGTCTGACATCCTTCCTAATCAGTTCTCATAACATCTCATCATTTAACCAGTACAGAAGTTCAGGCCATACTACGCCACTAGTACTTTTAAGTACAAACTATACTGATGCTGGATAACAAGAAACTCTCGCATTAACTCACAAGCAGAAAGGACATAAGAGACAAACTGCTTTCAGAGTCAATCTCTTGATTTACGAGGTGAAAATAATACTCAT